TTTGAGATCAGGGAGTTCTATATGAGGTAATTGACAAGATAGCTAGTTATCTCAGGACCGCAATTAATATTTACTAAAGAAATTGTTGTCCAATGTTTACCAGTAAATACTGGCATGGCTGGTAAGTTGACAGTATATTTACTGGTAATTAACATTGGACATAAACATTTTCAGTCAACATTGCTCAGAATAATTCCAACTGCCAGTTGCAGTAAAAATAATAATCTAAACATTTTATTTAGATCATAGATCATGAACAGGATTTTTTTTTTAATATTTTCGTTATGTAAAGTACAAGTATTAGTTCACAATTGGTAAAATATTATACAACATAATCCTCAAAAAGGAAGAGATACTTGACTTCGATTATATAGACATTGCAGCTGTCGCCAGGTCGCTACAAGGGGAGATAAAAGCGCGCATTTCCGGTATTGTCAGAATTCGCCATGTTGGTTTTTTCCGGTCCAGCACGGTGTGGTGTGATAAGGTAATTAATTATTTTTACATGTTTATATTTAGTGTCATGCAAAACGAGGTTACTGTCATTAAAGTGTGATGTATAAAGAACATTGTGAAGCAAAATGTTAAGGAAATAAATCAAACTTTAGCTATTTTTGCAGTTTATCAAAATTTAACGACAGAATGTGCGACGTGCTTTTGGTGATTAAAAGGTTATAATAGCTCTTGGTCGATAAAAGTCTTCACTTGAACTGAAAGCTCATATTTTAATATAATTGTGTTCGAAATATCAAGGTCATACATGCATCCGTTATCAACCGATGATTTTTTAACGGAAAATACACCATTAGTTACGTCCCTTTATAGTATAGTTAGTTTCATTAAAGTTTGTTTACCTTGGTCACGTTATCTTGCNTAAAATAAAACAACATTTCCTTTTAAACTGTAATAATGTGGGTTTTTTTACATTCAGTTCATGTGACAAACTGCACAGTTCCGATTTAATTTGAAGGCCACTTATTTTTCACTGAAAGGTAATTTTGCATGTGATAGCATATTAATAATAACATACTATTGCTGTATTATCCTATATATAACTTTTTCACGGTAGTGATGTAGCACATAGGCAAGGCTCTGTTTATGTTTGTTTCTAATGTAACCATGTGGTGTTGGGTCTAGTTGGTTGTATGGTTTTTTATTATTATAATTTTTGAACCAAGGAATAAAGAAACACCAGACAAGATCAGTGTCGTATCAGATGTTGTTTTTATTTATTGTTATGTTCGACTAGTGGTACAATTAAAACTGTTAAATGACATTAAAACATCATTATAAGATATCATTGAGTAGTAATGCTGTGAAATTGAATCCATTGTGATCAGGTTAAGTATATCATCAAGTTTGATAAACTATTGAGACAACGGCAGTATTTTATCAAAACTTAGCACGCATTGTAACACTAAACAGTTTGACTTCTTCTGATTATTTCCTTCTGTTATATTATAGCATAATCTTGTTGGTGACTGGAAATGGCGAGAACTGGTTTATGGATTCCTCCTTTCTTTACCAAACCATTTTCTTCTATATTTTCATCCATTTCTATTGATCCATATGGTAATTTATCATTTTCAGATGCAAAGGAGGGTCTGCTTTGCAGATGTGCCACAGGCATAAATGCAATAATTCTTGAAGATTTGTCTCTTTGCAATGAATTAACATTTTCGAATTCGGTTCCTTATACACTCAAACCAGACTCTTTTATTGATTGCCATCCGTGGCAATCACCTGACCCCCTCTCATTTTCATTTAGCATCTCTTTGAATTCTGGCATAATTCCCCCATCAATTATTAATTCTTTTCCTGGACTTACTGAAGGCCCATGCAGATCACATGCCACAACAGCATCAGTCCACACACTGAAGTCATCTGCTAATGCAGATAAGTCCATTCTCAATGGATTATGTTATTCATCAGAAGATGTTGATATTTGTCATTCAGATGAATCTGAATCATTTGAGAAGATGTATCCTTTGGGATCAGAAATGAACCCAATTGACATACCTTCATCTACTGATGATCATGATGATGATGAATCTACTGATGATCATGATCATGATGAATCTACTGATGATCATGATCATGATGAAACAGTCTTAGCAGACGATGACAGTGATGCGACAATATGTCCTTTTTGCAATGATCCAAACTGTCAACATAGGCCTTAATAAGTTCATCCATCCATTCATCTGTCCGTTCATCCATCTATCAGTAAGTCACTGTGTCTGTACATCAATCCATCTATCATACATCAATTATTCCTACATTTGTCCGTCTGTCCATTCATCTTTCCATCAGTCCATTCCTCCATCCATCCACCCATCAGTTAGTCAGTCAGTCAGTGTGTTCGTACCTCCATCTATCAATCAATCCATTCCTCCATCTGTCCATCCATCCGCCCGTCCACCTATCCATCCATATATGTACATGTAAATAAAGTTGAAGCTTCTGCTTTTTTATGTTTTTTGGATATTGTGATGTATTGTTCATTCCAACTCTATAATTTCTATCTATCTGGTATGGAGGAATCCATAAAACATTATCTTCAGCATAGAGGTAACATTATGATTATTTGCATAATAGCAAGTTTTTGGTGATGGAAATCCTCAACAGATTTTAACTAATGTTACTAATTTACCAGTGTATTTTAAGCCAAGGTAACATACAACTTTATTGTATTTTTGGGGCACCGCTTACTTAATTGTTAATGTCACCAAAAATAATCACATGCTTTTGTTAGTTTCCTTTTTTCCACACACAATTGTAAATGTCCATTCTGTTTATGTGTTAACAATTTTAAATCAGTGGTTAATATTATTATAAATTTTAACTGTACAAAGATAACTGGATCAGTAGTTCAATACTGTTGTTTTAAATGTTGAGCTGATGACTGCTGGGACATTTTAATAACTGAAGGTACTGATGCATCTGAAAATATCCACATTATTACTGATTACATTGTAACTAAACTTATCATATATATATTCTACTAATGAAAATAAATAATTTATTAGGCTGGCCATTCTTCTCCCTGCAATATAAATATGGAATGTAGTTATAGTAACAGTGTTGTCCTAACTTTACTGTATTTCAGATATCATCAAGTTTCAAGTTTCAAGTTTTATTTATTCACTCCGACACACTTACGTGTGTAACAAGAGGTCACATACATATAGTAAGTATGATACATGGCGTGTGATGTACACAATTACAACATTGTACATAGCATACTGGAACAGATTTATATGTAGTTGTTCTTGTAACTTTGTTTCTTGTACTCCTTTGATAAACATGTATGGTACCTGTATGGTAGTCAGCAGGTTTTAAATTAATTTCATCAAAGGTCATGGTCAAAGAGGTCAAACAGGTCAAATCATACTTTTCCCATAACTTCTTAGTGGATTAACATAGAAACTGTATCCATATATATATATATACTTCTCAATAACAAAATTTACACTGGGTAGACGTTTAATTGCATTGGCAATTGGCATCTAGTTTTAAGTTTATATTTATTCCTTTCAGCCAAGTTACAGGTATAATTATTAGCATGGCACAAAATTATGACACTTTAACCAACTCATTAATCTATGATGTTGTTAAAAGAACAAACGGGAAAAGGAAGGAAATTCATAGAATTTTATGTTCTTTAGCTGATATTGAACCTTATCAAGTCAATCAGTGTAGCCTGGCAAACAAAGCGAAATTAGTTGTTAAAGAAATCAAACGTCTCAAAAATGCAAGAAATGAATCCATATATCAAAATTACCTGGAGAAAAAGTTTATATTTCCTCCATTAAAAGAAAAACAAAATGGATCCATTCAACCAACAACTGAAACCAGTGCACAAAATCAAGCAATTTCAAATTTGCAGAAGACAAATATGACATTACAAAGGATGGTAGTCAATTTAAATATGCAGATTACAAAACTGAGGAGAAAGGTGAAAGAAGTGAATGTGGCATCCTTGAAATTAAAATTAAAGAGGCAGGAAAATGCTATATATAAACTGAAATCCAAAAACAGACACCTGGAAAAAGGCAAAAAAGAAGGCAAGCAGGACCCTTTACAGTTTGACAAAAGTAGTCAATGTAAATTAAATATGGATGATATGAAAACACTCCAAGAGAAAATTTTGTATTTAGAAAATGAAAATGTAACTTTACAAGATGAAAAAAGCAGTACAGATCGAGAGAGCCCAATGGACGAAGAGGTGTTTAGAATGAGAGAAAATACAAAGGGTTTACCCTATTCATCTAAATTACGATCTGTGTATTACAAATTTAGAAGTTGTGATGTTGGTATTAATCATATTTCATCATTGATAAAATCTGTATTAGACATAGTAGGTATTCATATACCATTAAAGGACTTTCCTGGAGAAAGTGTCATAGCAAGTTTTACTTCAGAGATGGGATTTATTGCAAGGGAGCAGCTATGTGAAAAATTAAGTGCCTCAGACTGTGTCACTATGCATAGAGATGCAACTACTAAAAAGGGAAAACATTTTTATGGTGTACAATTGTCAACTAAGGATGAAACTCTCACTGCAGGTATTCGAGAGGTTGTGGATGGAAAAGCTGCAACCTATATAGACTGTACAAATCAGATGTGTAGTGACATTGATTCCCATATGGAATCAGAGTCTTCAATGAATTATGTCACCAGCTATATGACAGACAGAAGTGCGACAGAAACTAAAGTGAACATTTTACTGAAGGATGTCAACAACAACAATGAAGTTCCATCTTTTAAATGTGCTGTGCATCCACTCCTTCAATTTTCAGATGTTTGTCTAAAAGAAATTAAAGAATTAGAAAAAAAGTTAGGAGTACATGAGAAATCTTATATTGGTTGTCAAAAAGGAGAGTCTGTTACTCAGTGCCTTCTAAGATTTGTTTCCAAACTTTTTTATAAAGATGGTTCTGGTGACCCACTAATGGCAGCACTATATTTAAAAGATCTAGGTATGAAAATTCCTATTTTGAATTTCAGAGGGAACCGCTTTAATGTTTTGTTTTATAATGCTGCAGGAACATTTTATCTTTCACAACATCTTCAAGACTATCTTGAATCTTCTAAATCCACACTAAATTTTGTACAAACATGTATCTTAGAAGGACTGAAAGATCCAATTTTGATGGACATATGCAAATGTTTAGGAATTTTATCCAAATTAATAACTGAGCCATATTGGAGAAAAGCTGGAGGGGAAGTAGCATCAGCCATTGAAATGGGCCCTGTTTATACCCGTCTAATAGAATGTTTAGGTATTGGTTGTGAAACCCCTTTAACTTTGCTCCATAACAACATACAGCTATTTCCGGGACCAAGTGTTGAACCTGATGATGTTTTGCAACTATTGTTTAACTCGCACGTGTCATCAAATGCTGTGACAATAATGACCAGTCTTTGCAAGGCAATGCGTGACAAAGCCCAACATTTGTTTAAGGACTTCCTGCCATCTGGGCCTTTCTTCTCCCCATCTGTGTCTGAAATAGCATCATTTTCTTCATGTCCTCCAAACAATATATGTGTAGAACGCCTCATGGGCAAACTGGACAGTAAATTAAAATTTGCACCCAATATGAATACAGATAATATAGAAAGTTCAGTCATGTACAAATCCAACAAGACCTCGGATTGGCTCAATGACAAACCAGAAATCGTGCAAAAGAAGATTATTTGCACTGCAAGAAAACATAAGACAGACATTTGTAGTAAAACAAAAGAAAGAAAACATCACCTAAAACAACAACAACTACAAATTATCAAAGAAAGAAAAGAAAGTGTATTAAAAAAGAGGAAGAAGGTTGATAAACAAAAAGAGGAGTTGATAGAAAACTTGGACACACTTGGACTGTGGGACAGTGATGACAAAATTGAAAATGGAATCAAGGAAATTAAAACTAACAAAGAACAGTTGTCACTTTTGAAAAAACAAATTGGAATGATAAGACAGTTATACAACATCGACCAAAAACACAAACATCTGTTACAATACAGTAAGAAGGGTAAAGCATTCTCTGTTGATCAAATAAAGCAAAATTTGAAAGAATTAATAAAAGTGAAAATAACAAAAAATGAAGTGCAATTAGTGGAACCAAATGTAGTTGGAAAGAAAATCAAACATATTTGGTCTGATGACAATGGCAACACAGTCTGGAATGGGAGGATTTTGAGCAATGACAATGGGGTTTTCAAGGTTAGATTCAACTTTGACCCAATGACCCATACACTGGCACTCCTTAGTAATACTTCGGCATGTTGATTAAAATATCTCCACAATTTAACTTTGAAGGACAACTTCTTTCCAGCGTTATGGTTTCGGTTGTTTATGCATGTTTATCATTCCAGCCAATCACTAAGACCTCAAACACAATTGTTGAAATCAATTGATATTTAATTTGAAAGATAGGACCTAGTACTGTCTGTGAATTTAAGTTTTGGTGTACGAATATTAGGTTGATCAATTATAGTTTGAAGTTAAAAAAAAAAATATGCATGTTTTTCATTTAACAAAATTATAAATGAATATAACATTAATATTTCACAAAACATGTTTTTATCAGCCAAGACTTAAGTGATGTTTCACATATATTCCCTTCACACCTTTAACTAAACAACTTAAAATATATATAACATCATTAAGGATATATATAACCACTATGATTGTGCATTATATATTATTAAAGTAAATGGCAATATAATAATTCAGTATCAGCAATTTATGAAAGGCACCTGAAATGTGATCAGATTATAATTTTCTTTGGGTACCGTATGCAGTTAATCTCATAATCATATTTTATTTAAGATTTCCGAATTTATGAAAAAGGAGTTGACATATACTTATACAATGTTGTATACTTTTCAGGTACATTATTGGTGTATTGAAGAAGAAGAAGAAGCAGCAGGGGCGGGGGATAAATTCATGTTAACTGGTGGGGAAATTAAGGCGGACATTGATGATGGCTCTTTAACTTTTGACGGTAAGTTGTCCTTGATTACCCTTTAATCAATTTACAATCCAGGTTTAACTAGAAAAACGTTGTTGATGGAACACCATCAAATGCTTCTAGCGTGGATGACTAGGCCCCTATGCCCAAAAATTCTCCTATCCCCCCACCCCGATGACCATATACTAAAATAAGTTGCTGTAAAATGTAGAGCTCATGATTATGTTTGATTGTGTCCCAAAGTTTGAAGTTCCTATCTAAAACGGTGTATGAAGGGGGTTAGACAGACAAAGAGTCGCTGGACACAATCACAGTATTCCTTCTTTTATTCCAAAGTACAGGAATAATAATAACTACCATTCAATTATATTATCAGTTCAAAGTAATATAGATTTATACATCTGAAATAAGAGACATATTGCTTGTGATATGACATTGTGTATGTTGTGAATGATTATTTTGAGCATTGATAACCCATGGTATAACATAAGAATATATTGTTATATGTTTAATTGTAAATAATGGTGAAAGGTGGATAATAGAAAAAAATAACCACCATGATTTTTAGCTGTGATTATAGGTGTGATTTGTGCATGTTTATTGATATTTTTTACTTTAATTATTTCTATTACAGACACATCATAAGGAACCTCCAGGATCAAAGACAAGTAGAGTAAAAGATATAAATTGTAATTATGTGTTCTGTTATTTTTGTTTCACATTTTAAGAACAGACTATAGAATAAGAGTTATTCCCCTTCCTTTATGAACATTAAATTTTTTTGTTGGTTTTAAATTGGGTTATTTCCCTTGGTGATCATAATCCACTGCCAGACCCATATATTCAAATGCAAATTAACAATGATCTACATTCAATGAATCAAAATATTTGTTACTTATCACATTTGGATACCTTTCCCATT